ACTCTCGGCGATCCACGCCCCCCCTCGCAGTGACGCTCTCGCCGGTCCACGCCCCCAGCAGCGCCGCTCGTTTAAAAAAGTAAAACCAGCCCTACTTGTCCGTAACAGGGCTAAAACAGTGAAAAAACTACTTGCCCGGCGCCCGGAACTACATGTCCCGGGCGTCGCGCGATACGAATTCCACACCCCTGCTTGAACAGTGGATGGTAATTGTGGTTTTGTCGTTTTTTGTTAATTGATTAAACATTTTATACAATTTTATTGAAAAGAATAGGTCAACTCTACCCAAAATTTATAGTTCAGATCTAAGTGAGCAATCAATTATCTCTAGCATTGTTGTAGTAGGTTTGCAGAACTAAGATCTTGTGAAATGATCTTCCACCACTGGAGCTGCCAAAAGATATAAGAAGCCAACATGGGGCTTTTGTACGAGAAGTGTTGTAATACAAGAATTACCTATTGTCCATAGCAATTCATCAAAATACTTGCCTCATTCTAAACTCCTAGTTGCAGAACAGAAATTACAGTTAAAAGATGATTGGTTGCTATGAGTAATCATAAATGTTTCATAACTTCTATGCCATTTACATTGCCACCAAGTAAGGCCCCTCCAAAACCCACTGGCTTATTGGGTTCTATTTACTCAGTTTAATTTCCCTTGTCCTCTTTCCTATGTTTGGTAATTTACAATATTTATTACTCCTATTGTGCTTATAAAAACAAAAAAAGGAGGTGTTGATTAAGCTGCAGATTTTTTGTTTCTAGTCTTTTGTGATTATATGCCTGAAAATTTGACAGAATGGAATACCTTGAAGAAACCATCAATATCACCACAACCACAGGGCCGGATTTCCCACAAGGCCAACCAAGACCCGGCCTTGGGGCAGCAGGGGTGTGGATTCCCATCTCCTTATGCCCGGGACATGCAGTTCTGGGCGCCAGGCGGGTAGTTTTCTACATTTAGCCCTGCTTTGGGCAAGCAGGGCTAAATGTAGAGCAGGGAAGGCGCCGCTCGTTGCCAAGAACACTTGTATGCAGCCTGCAGGTCTGCCATTCTCCATTGGGGGGGCGGGGGTTGGCGAGTAGGGGGGTGAATTGAGGAACCTGGCCATGGGGCAGCAGAGAGAGCAAATCGGCCCTGCACAACCACCATCCGCATTAACATGTTAGGATGACAATACTCCTGCTCACATTATGATCTACTGTACAGAGGATCATGGAAAGGGTCAGCTAAAAAAAAAAACACAGATTTTAGGTAACTAACACTCAAATGTATGATTGAGCCAAAATGTATTTGAGCCAAAGGGTGGTTTTATTTAACTGGCTGTACGTCAACCTTAAAAAGGTGAAATATTGTTTCTTTATATGTTAAAGACATGTGAAAGATAAGTATATAAATACACCAATGTCTGTTCACGTTTTAAAGACCTTATTCCCCTCTATACATTTAGAGATCATATATGTACACGGGGGCGATAGGATTTGTATATTACAACAACCTACTAACTGCTACAACCCATGGCCACTACTCAGTAGAGCTTACTATTAGACCTTTCTCCTGCCTGTGACACAGTTGGCCAACTGCTCCTGCTCAAAAACTCTACTCTCTTGGCCTCCAAGACTTTTTACTCTTTCCTGGTTCTCCTTCTACCTAATCGAAGCGCTCCTTAATTGTTAGGTAGAACTCTACTTCTTCCTCTCCTCTTTCCACAGGGGTCCCCCAAATCGGAACCCTTATAAATCGCCATCTACACCTCCTTCCTCGGTCAGCTGATAACCTTACATGGGCTTCCTATACCATCTCTATTCTAACAACACCCAAGTCTATCTCTCCACTCCTAAGCTCACCCCCTTTGTCTCTTTGTGCCTCGCTAACTTACTGACATATCAGTATAGATGTCACCCCACTTAAAACTCATTTTTTCCAAAACAGAGTTCATGATATTTTTTCCCCGCTATGCACCATTCCCTGACTTTTCCATTGAGATCAATATCATAACTATCCTTCCCTCCCCACATGTCAGGGTGCTAGATGTAATCTTGGACTCTGACCTGTCCTTTTCAGTCCCACATCCAATTGTTGTCTGCATCTTGCTGCCTTTAGCTCTGTAGCATTTCCAAAATATGCCCCTTTCTTAACCAAAGAAACCACAAAGTGACCAATTCTCTTGAGCCTCCCCCATCCTTTAGAATTCCCCAGCCCCAAACTGTCCGGCTATCCCGTATTCTGCCTTTATGTAATCCCTGAAAAGTATTTTCATCCGGGAAGCCTATCAGGCCTCTACCCAACCACTGTAACTGTACTTTCTCAAACAACTCATCCCTACACAGTTACTTTCCTTTTGTATCACTTGCCCCTCCCTTTTAAATGATACGTTCTTACAAGCAGGGCCCTCCAAACCTTCTTGTCTTGTGTGAATTGTATTGCAACTGTACTTTCTCCCTTTATTTAAGCCTGTTGGCACTATATAAATCCTGAATTATAATAATAAATTACATATACAGACTCAGCTGTCTGCTTTATAGAGTTGATCATCTTCCCATCACACTGAAAAGCTATCAAATTGGGTCTCATTGACTGAAAACAAGAGATTTGTGAAGGCTCTAATGACATGAAATACCCCACATGCACCTGGTAACCAGAAACCATATGACCTTTGCCTAAGTTTTATGTTGCATGATGATGATGGAAGCCTCCTAGAAAAGGTAATACTTAAATTATGTGATTAAGTAATGCTGAAATGTGCCCCATTAATGTGTTACATTTATTGAGGAGTCCACTTGGAGGGCATCTATAGTGAAGTTTTGTTGTTGCATAGAGTAGGGAATGGTTAAAACCCTTTTTGCGGTTTGTGTCCTTTTGGGGTATTTTTCTTCAGTACCTGCCCTGTAGAGGCTTAACAGGCAATCAAGGGAATTCATCAAAACTGGAGCAGAGAAAATCTGGAGCGGCTGTGCACGGCAACCAATCAGCTTCTCTCTTTCATTTTCAAATCTTAACTGTACAAACTGAAGAGAGAAGCTGATTGGTTGCCATGCACAGCTGCTCCAGATTTTGTCTGCTCCAGTTTTGATGAATTCCCCTCAATGAAAATAAACCTCCTCAAGGTGAGGAGAAATCTCCTCTTAATTGTCACTGGAACAAACCTCCTTACTTTTCTCTTATAATTCCCCTAAACTTCTGTTCCAGCTACCACTGTAAAAGTTTGGACTTCCCATCACTTTCTGCCCAAGTGACAATGGCCGCAAGGACAAACAGAGGACAAATCTCTCCATTGGGACAGCAAACTATCAGGAGATTTAAGCGTTCCCTACTCAATTAAAAACAAAAACAAAAATTGGCTAGATATGCAGTTTAAAGTGGCTGAATATTCAACATGGTGCAATAAAAAAACAATACACAATTATACTTCTAAACAAAGCTAAAACAAGTAGGTCAATGTGCAGGTACTTCCATCTTAACAAAACACAAAAGAAGCAAAGATCATTATCAGATGATGAATAAGAGCCTCTCACATTTTACAGTCACCCTACAGGAAACTTGAGCAATTCTTTAGAAATATTATTCAGTGATCACACGTCAAATCTAATTGCTGGCAGTGTTCATGCATTCATTTCTGCTGTGACAGTTTAAAATAAATGCCTGGAGCAGTAAAAGTTGTTAAGAAGTGTGTGGACATTTCTTAAAAGAAAAAAAAATAGAACAGTAAATATTGCAATGGCTTAGTGTGTGGTTCACGGGCATTACATCCCAGGGTCAATCAATAGGAAAAACTTTCTGGGATCCATTACCCAGATAGTGGATAAAGAGGGGCTTTTAACTGATGCTCATGTAAAGGGGAAAAAAACAATCATATTCTTCATAAAATCATCTCATTTTATTTATTGATAACAAAAATACAAACTATAACAAGAGATGCCTAAAAGTTTAAATATAAAAAGCATTGAGGCACACTGTATATAAATATTATATACATAACCCGACCTGGACCTTGAACTAAATCAAAAAAATCATCCATAATGTTATCCAACGAGTTGT